GCGGGAAAATCTGGCGAGGAGGAGGATGGTGGCCGTGGGGCTGCTCCCGTCGAGGGGGGATCGGGGTTGCGGTGGCCGCTGGCGGGCAATGGGAGAAGTTGGGATCTGTGCCTTAGGAATCACGTGGATTTGGAGGGGGGAGGAAGTTAGATTCTTGCTTTTGTTATTGTTATTATTAAATGATGATGATTCCTGGGTGCGATTCTGCTTGTGCTGAACAGGAGGAGTTTTCCCTGGATGGCACCAGAGAATCCTTCTGAACGGGATCCTGGGTGCCAGATCTCCTCTGTTCCAGATTTTTTGTCTATCCCAACTTCTGTAGCTGCCACTTTTGTTGCCATATCATTTACAGTGGGGAAAAATCCTCCCGGACATGGCAAAAGGGAGGAGAACCTGTCCTAGACACTGAACCTCAAATAAAGAGATGATTTATTTTACACAAATCGTGTCTCTGGCATTCTGAGCTCCCAATATCCCTCTCACATTGCATCCTTCACACTTCTCGTTCTAGAAACTCCCTATTTAGCCCAAAAATGAGTGTACAGCCCTTTGTGCCACAGCTGGGGGTTCAGCTTTGCCCTGGGGTGTCCCTGTGTGGGGTGGAGCCGTTGCCACTGTCCCTCGCCTTCTGCCCTTGGTGCTGATAGAACAAACACGGGATTATCTGGAGATGGTGTTCCTGTGAAATCTCGTGTTTTCCTTGGAGATAAGGGCAGAACTGCAGCAGGTGCTTTTGATTTCCATCACTTTTTTTGACCTGGTTGACCCCATGATACCCGTGATCCCAAATCAGAGGGACCGAGGGTCGAGGGCCAATGTTCTCCCCCAAAATAATCTCCATTTGGAGATCAAGGGGCAAAAAATTTGGCAGAGTTTTGGCCAAAACTCCAAGATTTCTTTAAACCCTATCTCTGCTTCATTCTACCCCAGGGAGGCCGAGCCCGGCCCTGCTCCAGCGCTGCCTGTGTTGGGGGCTTGGGGACAGGCTGAAGGTCGTGCCCCATTTCTGCCTCAGTTTCCCCATCCCGGTGCCAAAGTGGCTCCATCCACGTGTTGGATCAAGCCCCGGAACCATCCCACGAACCGAGGCCCGGCAGAGCTGCAGCCAAGGCCTGCTGGGGCTGAGAGCGGGAGCCAGCGGTGACACGGCT